CCAGAGGCTTGCTTTGATTATCATACATCAATCTGTGAATCAGAATGGTATGGTAGCAGGGAAAAGCTCAAAATATGTATCGTAAATTATGCGCCAGATGTCCCTTTTCTCTTCCTGTACAAAACTTCCAATGCAAACAGTATTGTGTAACTGTTGTACAGGCACTTAGAGATCATGTTAATGTTTTCAGTACTACTGGCAAACTAGTAAACTGGCAAGATTTTAACAGCATTAAATCCTGTGATGGCTTCATCATATCGTGACCTCCAGCATGCACTGGGGCAGTTTCTCAGCCGAGTGTGAAGTGGTCAGGATGAGAGTCAGCACGTCCAAATCTGAGGCCGTGGTTCTCTGCCGGAAAATGGCGGACTGCCCCCTCTGGGTTGGGAGTTAGTTACTGCTTCAAGTGAGGGAGTTCAAGTATCTCAGGGTCTTGTTCACGATTGAGGGTAGAATGGAGCGTGAGATGGATCTGCGGTTTAGTGCGGCTTATGGAGTGATGCGGGCGCCCTACTGGAAGAGGCCTTCTGAGCCAGAAGGCGAAGCTTTTGATTTTCCTGGTCCATCTACGTCCCAACCCTCGCCTATGGTCATGAGCTCTGTGTAGTGATCGCAAGAAAGAGATTACAAGCTGCTGAAATGAGTTTCCTCTGTGGGACGGCTGGGCTCAGCCTTAGAGATAGGGTGGAGTGGAGTGGCTGGTCCTTTGCGTCAGAAGGGGTCAGTTGAAGTTGTTCGGGCGTCTGATCAGGATGCATCCTGGGTGCCTCCTGCTGGAGGTGTTCCAGGCACGTCCCAGTGGTAGGAGGCCCCGGGGCAGAACACACTGGAGGGATTACATATCTCATCTGACCTGGGAACGCCTTGGGGTCCCCTAAGAGGACCTGGAAAGCATCCCTGGGGATTGGGAGGTCTGGGTTGCTTTGCTTGGCCTGCTGCCCCCGAGACCCGGCTTCAGATAAGCAGATGAAAATGGATGGATGGAAACCCTGAAGAAGTTTTATTTTCTGCTCACAAACTGCTGCTGCAGCAACTCAGGTAACCATAAACACACTCCTTCAGGATGATGTTTTTGAAAACATAGGGTGATGTCATGTCTTTTCATAGACTGTATAAAAGAAATTTAATACAGTCAGTGGGCGACGCAGGATGTAATGCACCAGAAACAGAAAAAAAGAGGAGTTAAGATTGTCATTGCTATGATATATTCAAAGCTACACATCCCCTCTTTCATTTTCTTCAAACCCCACTACTTTGAAGGGTTTTCAGGACATCTCATGACTGCTCATCATCATAAAGATGATAATGTAGGCAATCCAGAGTTATTATGGTTGTGGATTATTATCTGTATTTTTTTTAATTTAACTTAGTTCTTCCAGAGCAGTGTTGGGCAAGTTACTGGTGGTGGTAACATCACTACTTTCTGACTTAAATATCTTTTCAGTGGCGAAGTTGATCAATTGACAAAGTAGCGGAGTAGCGTCTGCAAAAGTTACAAGCTCTTTCTCCCAGGAAAAGCTCTGAGGTGCAGCAGACCTTTTCCTGCGATGGTCTGGATAAATGTAAGGATAATAAAACTGAGGACAAGTAATGTGACTGGCACCTACATGCCTCGGAAGCATTTCAGCATGACATCACATACCCGCCCTCTCTGCCTCTGATTGGCTACATTGCACTTCATGATGCGTCTCTCTCGTGACTCATAGACTGTATATATTTAGTGGATTTCCAGTGGTTACTAGAGAAATAGACACAGCATGGGCAGAGAACAGAGCTGAGAGACAGAGAAGGAAGAGAGGAGAGAGACAGTGACCTACTGATGTCATGTGTTATTTGCAGGACATGTTCATGTTCTCATGTCCCAAAAAAAGAAAAGTTTTAATTTAGGTCTGTTATTTTTATTGTTTATATTACTGTCTTTTATTTATTATGGTTTTATTTACTGAAAAATGTGTTTAAGAATTCTGTTTTTGAATTACTGACTGAGCCAGTCAGCCGACTGAAAGAGGCCGAGACAGAGAAATGCATGAAGTAGGACAGTGGGTGTGAAGCATCCATGTTTTCACAGACATGGATGTGAACAGTGAGGGAAGCTTAACTGGTGCACAGAGGCATACAGTGGCGGGGTGGTAATTCTAGTTTGAGACATGTAAAGGCCTCAAAATGTATGTGTTGGGTATTTGCTGATGGATAGTATGTCATAGAATATAACACGAAAGTCTCTTAGGCTTGTGTTAACCATAGGAAAAAAACAAAAAAGGAAATCACCAAAATCTTTGTCTAGGAATTACCTATGTCTGTCTGTCTGTCTTTAGGCTATATTTTTAAGTTTTATTAAATAAATAAAAAGTTTGACCAACTGGTGAAGCTAGATGAAAAGCCAGGGGATGATCAAAGTCTTTAGGACTCATCCTCCGAGCATTATGAATGTTGGTGCAACATTTAATGACAGCCCATCCAATAATAGTTGAGATATTTCAGTCTGGACTCAAGTGGTGGACCGACACTGTCATCCCATGTTCTAGTCTTTCTAAAAAGACACTTTACACTGCACGTAGTCTTTTGAATTTATTTTACCTGCAGAATACAGGAGGGGGTGAGCAGGACGACACCACAGGCCACTTTTTCATTTTAATCAAGCAAACAGAAGTAGAGGCCGCGTCCTGGAGACCGCCCACTATCTGTGTCAGCAGCAGCTGCACTAGTGGAGCTGCAGGGTGTCGTGGCTGGATGTGGGTGGGTAATGGCTGATATTCTTCATATTTTCCAGCTTATCTGCTGCGTTACATCAAGCCGCTGCCGTCCGCACACACACTGAGCTTAATGGGAGATGACCCTGTTTAATGACCACAGCTGGCGCATCTCTAACAATAATAGAGAGCCATCATCCTCACAAAAGACCTTCCGCATGCTCACATCTCATTTTCTCAACCAGTTATAAATACTAATGAGAAAAACATTTTGAAAAGGTCATCCCAGGAGCCGGTGCTGCTCATCATTATGTTAGAGACATATTTTCTGCACCCATGGATGCATTTCAGCAATTAGTAACTCACACCAAATGCACTGAACATACCATGACACCAGACGGCATTTGAGAAAGGGCATGTAATTCCACAAGGAGAAACATCGATGTAAGTGCACTTTAATTTTTAGTACACTTCATGTGAACAGACACAACCTTGGAAAGAAATGACAAGAGATCGACGGAGAAATACAGCAGACAGATTGTGAGTGCAGGGGAGCAGGGAAGAGGTGACAGGCTTCAGGGAAAAGAGGGGAGGAAGGTGAGGGAGGGAGAGGAAGAGGGAGCGAGGAGGGCCAGGAAGAGATTAATCGATTTTGGAAGGAGCTCAAAGACACGTCCCCAATTCGGTGATTCAGAGATCTGGCTCTCAGTCAGCGAGGTGGAGCTGGTGCGACAGCTGGCCAGAAGTCTATGAAGGAGCCTGGAAGTCTCACACGCCTCCATCTTTCTCTGAATTGGTGCTCCAGGACATTTCAAGCAATTCCTCCAAAGGGTGGAGCAACAGTGACCCAGCAGTTTATGGCTGCCGCAGTACGGCATTAACAAATAGTACCTACAGCATGTGGTGGCTACATTTTTAAGCAGCAGCAGCAGCAGCACCTGCACACAGTGAGATGTTTCCCTCTGAGACACAGCATCACCAAAGTGTTCTTCAATAATACAAAACAGGATAAAGAATACTATGAGCTGAAATCATGCCATGTGTTTTGTGCAGTGCATATTAAACTATATACAGTGTACTTTAAAGAGGCAAAAATCAGACTATGAGAGATACATGCTCATTTTTAAACCCATGTGTAATTACAGATTATGTGTTTTAGCAAGCACAGTAAGATTTGAATTTTCACACTCTAAAAAATGTGTTAGCATATCCAGACAGACTTGGCAATGTGGGTTTTTTCCACAAAGCGTCATTACAAAACAGAAAAAATGACCACACAGACACAACCACAGTGTAACAAACCCAGCGAGTCAGGGAACCAAACGCATGTAAGGTACAATAATCATCAAAGTGACACGCACACAATGTGTAACAAACGTACTAAGAGACAGCAGAGATTTTCAGAAAGACAGAGACAGAAACACCAAAGTGTTTATACCATCTGACAGTCCAAGATTTGAAGGCTGTACTGTGCCAAATTCCTATCTAGAAATACGCCTGGTCTTTTTTTTTTTTTTTTTTTTTTTAGTTTTGGAGCTTCAGTGGAGTGAACTTAAAGCAATACTTCACCCCACAAGTCATCATTGCACATCAATTACTCGGCTCGTGTTATTTTGAATTCTAGAAGAAAACTTTGTTTTTCGCGCATGCCTCCACGATGAACGAAGAATCCAAAAATAGAGAAATTTCATGATTAATTGAAGTCATAGGGGTCCATGTTGAACAACAGCAAAACTATATCAAAACTTCCATTTACAAACTCTCACACAGCTCGTTCAGTATAATCCACGTCTCATTTATCCAGTCGTATGCTCAGTACTACTCAAACAGATGGCCCTTATTTATTATGCTTTCTTCAAAGCCAGACTCCATTGACAAAAACAGTAATTTTACCTCACTGAACACAGGAGCTGCTGGTTGATAATTTAGTTAGTTTGTGTAATTATGTGACAGTGGTGAATTAAACTAATCCTTTGAAATATTAAAGTCACACAATAACACAAACTAACTAACTGGTCGAGGCAGAGGTAGACCAGCAGCTCCAGTGTTCTGCAAAGTAAAATTACTGTTTTTGTCAGTGAAGTCTGGCTTATAAGAGAGCATACAGTAGATAAGTGCCACTTTTAATCTAGTTCCCTGTTGGAAAGGACTGTCTGTATGAGAAGTACTGAGCATACGACTGGATAAATGAGACGTGGATAATACTGCACGAGTTGTGTGGCAGTCTGTAAACAGGTGTTTTGATATAGTTTTTCTGTTGTTAAATGTGGACCCCTATGACTTAAATTCATTAAGAATTTTATCGGTTTTTGGATTCTTTGTTCACCGTGGAGGCATACAAGAAAAACAAAGTTTTCTTTACAAATTCAACCTAACACAAGGTGAGAAATTGATGAACAAATGGTCATTTGGTGGGTGAAGTATTCCTTTAAATATCAAGATCAAATTATATAGTTAAATTATACTTTATGCATCTTCATTTCTAATATTGAATTTCCCACTGCTCATACAAGTGGGACATTTTCTCAGTGCACAGGAAATAGCAGATGAAAGCAGAAAAGTAATGCTCATTGTTGATGATGCAGTTTACCAATATCACAATACATGATTTCTGTCTAATGAAGTTCTTCAGATTCTAAACTTCCCGTTACGGTGGTGCATAAGTGACGTGTTGCCTTGTGCAGCTTTAAGAGCACCACTACACAGCCATCTCATCCCCTAAGCAGTCTGACAGACTTTCTGCATTCAGGACATTTATGAGTCGAGCGGCACCGTCAGCCCCCACTCCCTCGCCCTGCCCCCAGCTGTCCCGGTCATCGCTCTCATCCGTGTTCGATTCATACTCCGACCCGATCCCTGACTCCCTAAACCGCAGCAGCTCCAGGGCTCCCAGGACCTGCTCCCCGAGCAGCGAGCTTTCATCGGGGGCTCCATCGCTGGGAGTCTCCCCGGTGTCCTGGCCATGCTCCTGGCTGTCCAGCCCGCGGGAGGAGAAGCGGAAACACTCGAGGCGAACCCCACTGCCGCTGAGCCCCAGAGGGCTGGTGTCGGTGCCCATGGTGCCTGGAGAGCAGGGCCCGGGGAGGGTGGAGACCCAGGGATTGTCACTAATCTGGACCTGGGATTGAGCTGCAAAAGCGCCTGTAGATGAAGAAGTGCTGGGGGGCTTGGCGCGGAAAGTGATCTCCAGAAGACTGTCCTGTGAGCCCACTAAGGACAGAAAAAAGAAAGAAGATAAAACAAAACACAGAGATAATTGGTAGTTATCACATGTAAACAGAGGTGCAAGACACGAGAGGAGAGGTTTGAGCACAACCGACGTGATTATACAGAGAGAGATGTGCTGAAAGGATTTGATAATTCATGACTATATGGCAGGACTGCCACTAGCTAAATGCAGGGAGGGGAGTGCAAAGAGCAGTACTGAATCCTCTGAGAGGGCTGCCATCGGATAATTAATTGCGTGCCAGAAGTGGATAAGAAAGGAAGCCATAGCGGCAGGAAGGAGGCAAGAGAAAAAGTAATGAGGGGAAAAGAAAGGAGGGCAGAAAAGGATGATTTTGTGACAGAAATTAGTTGAGAAAAAACATGGAATTAAAGGAAGATTTGAGGCATTCAAACAAAATAAAATATTTACAGTAAATGAAAAAGAAAGCAGACAGAAAAACAGCAGACTTTCCACTCACTAGATGTTAACTGGCCGGCAGCTTTGAGCTCCAGTTCCTGGATCTGTTTAACCAGCAGGGAAATGTGTTGCAGCAGGTCGGTGTTCTGCTGCAGCAGCCTCTGCACTCTGGCCTGGGCTTCAGTCCGTGCACACACCTCCACCGACAGCTGCTCCTGCAGCACATGGACCTGGACAGGCCAATAGATACACATAATTAAGAACACACACGATTCTGTCATTAAGAGGCAACCTGCTAATTAAACTCCGCAGTGGCTCCTAAGTTTAGAGTTTGCTCAGTTGAAAGTTTCACCCCATAGACAGTCATGGTTTTGGTTTCTCCAGAGGCCATATGGGAAGAGACTGGCTGAAACCAACACATCAGCATTTTGAATCAACTTCTGCTAATGAGATTGGCCAAAGTCCTCGCGACCACGGCTCAGGCATCTTTAATTTGATGCGAAACTTTTCAAAAGTTGATACGAAATTTTAGAGGAATGAAAGAATTTAATAACACAAAAAGCGTCACCACATCCTATTTAACACTCCACTGATTAAAAATGGAAATAGCGCATCACTCTATTATGTGCTTTGAATGTTTTGTTCCATCACAAAGTTTTCAGTAATCTTAATTAGGGGATTTTGATGTGTATCTTATTAACCACTTGAAGTTATAATTGTTTCAAGGGCTCATCAAACAAACAGACTCTCAGAATTTGGTTCATTTTAGATTTAATCTTCTCTGTGAGTAAAATGTTTATAGCCAAACTAACAGCATGTCTCCAGAGATGGCAGTGACGGTCAGTCGTTGGTTGGCCCACAACTTTGAAAAGCCTCAGCATCTCTTGGATGGGTTTACCATTAAGTTTTGTACAGAGATTTAGAGCAACCAAAAGATAAATACCTCTGACACTGGTGATCCCCTGACCTTTCCTCTACCACTACCAGCACACCTGACAGGAATGTTATCAGCCTACTGTGGTTATAAGCCTCATAAGCCCCATTTCCACCAAGCAGTCTGCTGTGTTTCAGTTCAGTTCGGGATGCATTTTTTCTTTTTCCACTGTGAAAAGTTGTGGATGGTACCAATTGAACTGTTCTGTACCGTCCCCATTTTTGGTCCCCCCCTCTGTTGGGGTACCTAGCACACAGATCTGGTACTAAAAGGTGGAGCTGTGAACACTGCAGTCTGTTGATTGGTCAATAGCAGACGGTCACTCTGCTCAGGGCTGAGTTGTGGATGGTTTTGAGGCTAATCCTCACTTGTGGAAAAAAAAAAGCTTCACAGAGCGTTGCTCCTATGGGCTACAGCAAAACTAAACCCCTGAGCTTGCCTGAGAAGGACTAAATGCACAAACCCACAATTTAAAATATCCCATCCTTCTGTGGACGATAAATGAGGTGCAGACTTCAATCTGTGTCACCAGTAATGAGGAAATACGGTGAGTGCTGGATGGAGCGCTCACATTTAGGAGTACTGTTTGCAGTGGAAACACTAAAAGAACCAAGGGTCTGGGTACCATGTCTGAAGGGTTACTTTTGGTTCCAAAGGTACTGTACCAAAAGTGCTGGGTGGAAACAGGGTTATAGATAAGGGTCAGTACGGGCTACATCTAGTGGTATGATAAGAAAGCCATTATCAGCCCATTCTGTGGCCTTCACCAGCTTTTAAGGTTTCACTTTCCTTAGGTTTAAGTGCAAAGACAACATGGTTAGCTTTAGAAAAAGGTGATGTTTGGGTGTAAATATTGGTTTAATGTGGGATTCAAACCCCAGTTTCATGGGTAAAAGCTCTTTCTGGGAGAAAGTTTAACTTATGGCTTCCCCAACCTAATAGTAGGTGTGATAATGGCCATTTAATGATCTAATGACAGCCAAATCGGCTGACAAGCAGGTAACATTTGAGGTTCTTTGTGAAATGTTTCAACAACTATTGGATGGATTACCATTAAATTTGGTACACATGTGTATGTCCTCTTTACTATGAACTAAAATGACTTCAGTGACTTTTTATCTACCGCCATCATCAAGTTGTTATTTCACTTCGTGACAGTGAATGTGCATGACTCTTTGCTGCTGACAGCAGAGCTTAATGGCTCAACTTTTTCACCATGGCAACCACAGAAACCGCATCTACGTAAATTATACTAGAGGGGCTGATTTTATTGGTTTTTGCCATCCCTGAATTTTACCTCTCACCAGCGGAGAACAGACAGATCAATGAAGAGAAAACAGCCTGTGACAAACATCAGCTCTAAAGTTTGGTAATTAGGTCTGGGACAATAAACAGCATTGCCAGGCGGCGGCCGCTCGCTGTCTGAAAGCACCTTTAGTCTTGTTGATCTAAATGAGGTGCACTTTATGTTCTGTGCAGATATGTTTGTGGTCTATTCAGAATGGGATGAGAGAGGAGGCCGACACCATTATCTGTATCTGTATCTTTTCAACAAACGAAATTATCTGTATCCATACTTGGAAGAGACTGGGCATGTGGATGGACTTGACGAGAAGAAGACATTTGAAATCTGATATGGCTTAATCAGAAGTTGCTATAATTATTATTTATTAGAAAACTATTAACAAAACAGCATCAGAGTTGAGCTTGAGGATTTTCCTTTGTCACAAGCATGGATATTGTCACATTTTACGCCGATGATACCCATAAAAAGTACTTGTTTCATCCCAGTTTTTGGTTCATCCCACTAATTTAGATGTGTGACTTGTGTTGTAGTCCTCAAGTTTCATTGGGAACAAGAGAAAAGAAAAAAATATGTGTGGTTTCACAGGAAACAAGAACTGCCATCAGTACCTGCTCTGAAGCTGCCAGTGCCTGTTGTTCCTGCTGCTGCAGTTGTTTCTGGAGGAGCTGGACCTGGTGCTCTGCAGAACAGGGAGCCTCTTCTGCCGACTGACCCAAGACGGAGGCTCCACGGATGGGGGAGCCCAGCAGGAGAGATGGGTCGTCAGACACCTAGGACAGAGATGACGGTAAAATGAGCTCAGCTACTTCAAACGGCATCAGAAAGTTAAAGTGACTGTGCTGTTTTTTTGTTCCTTGAAATGTCTGTTTCAAACATATAGGAACATGACGCACCACCCACAGAAATTCACGTGATTGCGACATCAATCCTGAAAGGTGCAGGGGAACACCTTAATAAACCTTCAAATAAGTGAAAGTTACTTTTTCCCATTATTATGTAGTCGATTCATTCAGACTTTATGTTTCAACAGAGCTGTGGTTAGTGTGTGGTTATGTTTAAGCACAAAACCACTTGGTTATGGTTAGGAAAATAAATGTCTCTGTAAAAAACATCGCTTCCCATGCAGATGACAGATCGCTGCAAAATACCCACGTTTGGAGACTTAAAAGCTGCAGGAAACACAGCAAAAACTCACTAAAACACAAATGGTTTTGTTGTTTGTTGGCCAGGAAGTGTCGGCAACTAGGCAGCCAACCATAGGCGAGTTGGCTCATACATTACGTCATTTTAGAGTATGAAATGTGCAACTGGAACATACTGGTGGTTTGCAAAAATGTACATTTTTTCCTGGCGACCAGGCTGAAGAATCTTAAATATTACCACTTTAAACAGAGTTACAAAATACAATATAACACAGCAGGAGCACACATGGCTATGCGGAGTAGATGGAGGAGAAAAAAAGAAGAGAAAAGTATAGGGTAGGAGAGCCAACAGTCCTAAATAATGGTGTAACAGTGGAAAGTAAAACACCATTGCAAAGCTTGTGTGTAGTAACACATCTAAAGAGGAGGAGCAGGAAGACAGCGGAGATAGGCTGCACCGGCAGCAGCAAGACTGTCTCCTTTCATTCTGGGAACAGCCACAGATGGACCACCACTAAAGATTAGTAACATTATTCAATTTATATAGAAATGTTGTGATGAAGCCTTCAGACTTGCCTATAATCCACCATCCAGTGCTGCTTCAGTTGGTGATTTGATTTCTAACAGTTTCCAAAAATAACTGTGAGCAGCACAAACATTGTGTTTCTTTGTGCTGCTGCTGGACAGGGTGACGTGTATAAAGCTTTGAAGGAGGCAGAGGGAGAGATCTACCCTGTCAAATTGTATAGATAAAAAAAAAAAAAAAAAAAGACAGTTATATTTCACACCAAAGGAAGATCAATAAAGACACTGTGGTTACTCTATTGAGGCTGCTGTTGATGGGAGATTGTGTACTGCTGCCTGTGTCTGTTATAGATTCACACTTAAATAACAGGTGAGCTGTGAGGTGAGTGTAGAAAGAAAAGTTTGGTTACTCTTACGTCTGTATGAAAAGTTGTTTTTTTATGTACTTCTGTATATATAAATTAATATATATGTAGCTATAGGTACATTTCTTTTTACTTTATACAGGCCTGCTGCTGGGCACCTTGTGGATTAAATAAAAAAAGACAAGTTCAGGTCTTTATTTAAACCAAATGTCTCAACTGTTAAGAGTATGAATGCAGTATGCCTTTCTGCAGAGCGGTGAGTTGACTATATCATCATCTCTTGGAGAGGGCACGTTTTTTTCTGCGATTTGTTACACATGATGGATCTTATCTTTAAAATTCAAAATTCATACATGTTATTCCTATGGTCTAAGACAGTCCCAAAATATATTAAATTGTCTCCGAAATCAAAAATTAGGAGTGCTTAACTCAAATTTATGATGTCATAGGATATTAAAGTCTGGAGCTGCTCCATAGACACTGAATTGGGAAAGATGTTGTAGATCAGTGGTTCCCACACTGGTGGGTTGTGGTCCAAAGGTGGGTCGCAGGTGAATTTTGAATGGACCTTAAGTGACTCACAAGTGTGTCAAGTTTGTAAAAACCACACTTTGCTTTTAAGAACCATGAATAACTGTGCATAAGTACATCCAGCAAGCGGCAGCAGCGACCCACAATTCAACACTAGCACACGTGAGGACAGAAACTTAGGGCTCGGTGGGGACGGAGCATCTGCTGCAGCAAGCGATCACAGTGTCTGTGGTAATTTTGACTTGAGCAGCGGACTTCATACAGGTGACCAGCCTTACGTTCTAAAACCAGCTGGCAGCGATTTGACCAGCTGAGTTGCAGGTGACTCCATCAGCCGTCTGGAGTCGAGCTCAGACGGCCATTTCACACCGCTGTAACTTTTGTGTGCAGGTTTCGTCTCATCATGAATCATTGGTCTGAACTGGGTTTGAGAGCACCCAGGGGAATGTTCTGAGTATGGGTTCATTGTCTGTTTCATCACTGAGAACACTTTGGTAGAATGAAGCTCATTTAAGGAAAACTTATAGACTCACTTCGTGGTTTCTGGCTTTGTGAGAGAGTTAATTAAACTTTAATAATAATACAATAACATATTGGAATTTTTAATTTGGGTGGTGTTTCCCTTTAAGAGATATCTGTGTTTTGTGACTGTGGTGCACTGGGAGTGTGGCACTGACTGTGGCACCTCCCAGTTGTGAATTATCCAATAGATTTAAAATCCTGTTCAACCAATTATCCAATGAGAGCTGCTCACCTGTGTTGGTTGACTATATAAGAGAGTGGCTGTTTGTCTCTCTTTGAACTCTGATGAAGACACGAAGTGGTGTTGAAATGTTTTCATGTTTAATGGCTGTAAATTGATGAGTTTACTCCAGTTTTTTACTCCTCCCTGTAAAGCTTTACCTTCAGTTAGGTGTGTGAGGCCTTTCTGCATTTTTTGACTGTCAGTATCTGTCACACTGACAGATAAACATGTCTGAAAACTCTGAGGAGTGCAGTGTGGCAGACTGGGACTGGTTATACTGAGACAATGAGGCTGAGAGGACTGGATATATGATGCCTTGAGAATGAAGGATCAGAGAAGCTGAACATGGAGCAGATTGTGGAGGACTTCAGAGCTCAGTACTCACTCTCAGACAGGTGAGTACAACATACTCGCTGTGATGGTTTCAACTCTCTCCAGAGGAGAACGTCAGCATTGCCAAGTAACGTAGTGATGTGTGTGTTCTGTGAAAACTGTGCAGTCTTTGTTGTAATATGTGTGTTTGTGCCTACAGCCGCTGTGGAGTTTATACCTGTATGTATGTCTGTGTTGTCTGATATGGAGGATGAAAAATGACTTATCAATAAATAAATAAATGCATAAATAAATACAGATATGTATGTAAAAAAATGGAATTGAATAAATCAGTGTAAAAATAAATACAGGAATAAATAAATTAATAAATAAATTAATGAATGAATAAATAAAATATGGAAATAAAATACATTTATTAAATAAAAAAATAAAAGTGAAATAAAATAAATACAGGAATAAATGAAAATATAAAAATAAATATCTAAATTTATAAATAAATCAAAATATGGAAAAAATATAAATACATAAATAAATTATTAATAAATACAGGAATAAAGGAAAATGAAAATAAATAAAGGAAAAAAATATTGAAATAAATACATTTGTAAATACAAAAATAAATCATAAATAACTCCAGGAATAAAGAAAGAATGTGAAAATAAACTATTACATGCTAAAACTAATACAGAAATAAATGCCTAAATAAATGAATAAATACTGAATAAATATCTTAAATTTATTTCTTTAATTGTACAACTACATTTATGTATTTTTGTGTTTATATTTTATTGAGGCCCAACCTCTGCATTTATTATTTATTCCTGCATTTTTACTCATATATTTATCAATTTGTAAATACTTATGTCATTTTTCCTCCTGCATAATCTGCCTGTGACATTTTATGCTGCTGCTGATTCTATGAGCAGTGTCTGTTTCATTTATGTGGCTTAATACTGTTTGTTGCACCCGCCGTGGTGTCTGCGTGTTATTTATTTCATTTTGTTTGATTGTCTAAGTTTGTCCTTCGTGGTTTATTCTGGTGAGGTAACACTGACGAAGGCGGCTGTAATTGATAAACAAGTTGTACACACAGGCTGCAGAGTGGCACCTATAGAAGAAGAATATGTTGTTGGTTTGGCTCTGTGGTGTGATGTGTATGAGCTAACTGAAATGTTCATGCACTGTTTTTTGTAGTCAAGATGTGTTTTATTTAATAGGTATATCATTTATTTCACATTGTTACATATAATGTAACACAGTAACGTTTACTCAGCGTACATTTCAACTGACCTACTTTCTATCTGACTTCATTTTTACACAAGATGTTTAACTTTTATTTGAGAATAATTTATTTATAGGAACTTGAGAAGTGTTCTAGTAGTGACCCTTACTCTCTGCTGACATCAAATCACTACATTTACTGATGTTTCATCCTTTGAATCTTTTTCTGCTGCCATTGTACAAGCAAGTTGTGATGGCTAATGTGTTAGCAAACCGTTGCCTTGTTTTGTAGCATTTACTTGGAGTCCTGTTTCGTGTGATCTGATGAATGCAAGTCCGAGATTCACTCTGTATCTAATATCTATAATATTTGGCCCACTGCTTTTTTTTACTGCCGTGTTTGGCAAATTATTTTTACAATTTCATACATTTATTTCATTTGAAAGTAATGTGACTTTACAATATTACTGTCCGTGTTGAGGAATGCATTACTGATTACACTACTTTTGCGTTACTTTAATCAAATAAACTTCAGAAGTGAGTTTATCACAGTTCAATTTAAATCTGGCATTTTTCATATTAATCCAATGTATTATTATTGTTATTATTATTATTAGATTAAAAAAGACGATAGCTGATGTATTCTGAGATAACATTTCAGCCAGTGCGTTCCATCTCTCCTCAGGGACTGTTTACTTGCCACTCAAATGTGATTGGTTGATACTACTCAGACTACAGACAGAAACTAGGACACTTCAATTACCAAAATCTTGTCCTGTTGCCTCCAAGTTCTGCGTACACATCATGATTTGATCAATTCGTTAATATAAAGATGTTGATTATAGCAGCTTTAAGTTGTCATTGTTGAGAGTTACATTTAAATAGATGCACTTTGAAGATCCACAACG